CTCTCCTTTTTTATCCGTTATCTGTGTCTTTTTTTTTCCAATGTATATTTTCAGTGTAAATTGAATATTTTCAGTGTATATTGAGTTTATATTCACTATATTTCAGTATATTTTCAGTATATGTTTGGTTTGAAATATCAAAAATTGAAACAACATAAACAGACTATATATCAAATAAATTGTAAATATACATCAAATAAACATTGAAAAATAGTTTCAGTGTATGTTCGAAAAATGAAACAACATAAACTAACTATATATCAAATAAACTGTAAAATATACATCAAATAAACATTGAAAAAACAGTATATTTTACGTTCAACATCGGCCAGGATGTCGTGCTAGCCGCGGGATGTCTCGGGAGGACGCGAGTCATATACTGTACATATACTCCAATCCAAAATCATCCTCCGTAAAAGATATTCTTCTTCTCTCTCGCCGACTCCATGGAGAACGATTCTTGGATTGCCTACCTGGAGATGACGACCGCGGGGATGGCTCGGTAGATGGCGGCGTGCACGTTCTCGAAGACGGCGACGATGAGGGCTCGTTGCACGTTTTGTGGCTAGGAGGGCTCGCGCTCGTAAAGAGGGCTTGCAAAAATTCACCTTTGGATGAAGATGAGAAAAAATAAAAAGGATGAGAACAATTCAGAAATTAATAAATAAGAGGGGACGAATTTCACCTTTGGATGAAGATGAGAAAAATTCAGAAAGATGTTCATCGTTGTTTTCCGATAGAGAGAAGGGCTTTTTAATCGATCTCTAACTTGGAGAGGAATTAATTTAGAAGATACAGAGCTTGCTTGGACAGGAATTAATATAATTTAAAATTTGCAAATAATAATAATACTAATAATTTAAATGGGTCTGGCCTTTTATGTGAATTAAGTTCCCATTCTTAAATGACATTGGTGACAAATGATGAATATGAGTTAGGAATGAATGTGTGACTAAGGTGCCGTGTGAATGTGTGCCATTGGTCCGAATTAATTGCAGCAGTTACATTTTAGGTATAATTGTAATATTTTTTACTTGGTTTTGTAATTTTATAAATAAGTATATAAGAAATCTATAAGTGTAATATAAATCATATCACATAGTAAGGAGTGCAAATTCCTCTAATATATTTATAACACGTTTACTTGGACATTACTACAAGGCTCATTAAAAATCTTGTTAATAAAAAAAAAACTAATAGAAAAAAAAGAGTGCATGATTTATATAAATTCATGTGCTTTACTAATTAAAACTCCAAAAGGCATCGCCAAGTACTTGTAGTGACCTTGGTGAGTTCGAAAGGCGGTCTTCGGAATGTCTTCTTCGGCCACTCAAATTTGGTGGTAACCATCCCGTAGATCTGCTTCGAAAAATATCGCGACCCACCCAACTCGTTGAACATGTCGTCAATGCTCAGTATAGGAAATCGATCCTTGATGGTCGTGGCGTTTAAAGCTTGATAATCGGTGAAAAATCGCCAGGACCCGTCTTTCTTCTTTGCAAGCAACACCGGCAATGATAATGGACTTGCACTATGCCGAATTAATCTGGATTCGAGCATCTCACCGAACTGTGTCTCAATCTCGGCCTTTTGAGAATGGGTTTATCAATACGGGTGTACATATCTATCGCTAGACTCTCGTCGATAAGAGGTATGTGGTGATCGTACGCACGTCTCAGCAGTAGATCTTGGGGCTCGGCGAGGTTCCAACAAAACTGGCCGAGTAGCTCTCGAATCTCATCCTGTTGTGGGTCGAACTCCTTTGCCTCCTCATGACTCATCTCGACTATTACCGCCAAAATATGGCTACCCCCCTTCCATAGTCACTCTATGATTTTTAGCCCGACTTCCTTGAGACCATCGTCTTGATCTTCCTTCAATACGACCAAACGGTTATCCGAGGTGAACTCCATGGTGCCTGCTCGATAGTCCGGAGTGACTCGACCTAGGACCTCGAGCCACTGTACTCTGAGGACCACGTCTGGTCCGACCAAGGGTAGTGCGTATAGGTCGGCACTCACAGTTACTCCCTCCAACTTGATCGGCACTCTTCAAAAATACTCTGAACACCTCAATCGCTCGCCGTTAGCCACGCGCACATCGAATGGTTCGACCTTGGCTGTGGGTAGATTAAGCTTCCAGGACAGGGAAGCGTTAATGAAGTTGTGAGATGACCCGTTGTCGACCAACACTACGATACGGCAATCTCGCACCCACTCTGGAAACCTCATCGTTCTTGGCCCTTTTGTATCGGCCATGGTGTGTACCGAATTTCCAAGTACGATTCCTAAACCTCAATCTCAAGTTCGACCTCGCTGCTTATTAGCTCATCGTCATCAGAATCGACTAGCTCGACTATGAGCGTCTACATGCACCTATGACCTGGCGTGAACTTCTCGTCACAGTTGAAGCAAAGTCCCTTCTCATGTCGACGTTTTATCTCTTCATAGATGAGCTTCCTAACCCCTGGTGGTGCGGGTCTAGGAGTGCCCGATGGTAACCCGCTTATGCCTCGGTTGATGGGGGACGCTGTTGGTGCGATTCGGCGTGGCTCCGAAGAACGCAGGTTCTCGCGCGCCACTCTACGCAGAGCGGCTAAGTGGTCATCTCATGCATGAAGACTCCATGGCATGCCGCATCGCCCTTGGCTTCTTGAGACAGACTTCAGCCGCGAGATCTGGCTTCAATCTGCCTACGAACGCCCCGAAGAGTGCACCTTCCGGCCAGTCTCGCACTCGACTCGTCAATCACTCAAACTCTTTTTGGTAATCCCGTAGACTTCATGTTTGGCGTACGCGAGACAACGCCTCATCGTAGTCGTAATAATCTGATGAACTGAACCTTGTTATTGTTCTCTCTCGAAATCCACCCAACGAATTATCTCTTAACGCTTGTGTTATACGTGTGAGATCCACTGCCACCAGACATTAGCCTCCCCATCTAGGTAGTATGCGGCATATTTAACTCGATCGACCCTCGGGGTATCATTAAGGTCGAAGTATTGTTTTGCGCGACTTAGCTAAGCGTCTGGATCTGTCCCGTCGAACGTAGATAATACGAGTCTCGGCTTCTCGGCTAGCGGCCTGTCTCGGTTGTTCGACCGATTATCGGTCTCGTTCTCCTCATCCTCTGATCGCGTCGACCCTCGCTTATTTGACCTAGACCTGCCCCTCCCTGGCGAATGCCGATCTGCTCGATTCCACCTTTGATTCATGGCGTGGAGCATCTTCCCGAGCCGGGCTGTCGTCTGATTATGGTGGTTTTGCCTTCGTTTATGCGTGATTCGAGGCGTGTCCCTCGCTTAAACCCCCAATATGATCGTCCAAGCCGTCGATCCTCTCGTCGATAGCGTCGAACCTCTCACGATTTGTCATTATAAAATTATATGTTTTTTTTTTAATCTAAAAAGCCACAATTAAATCTAAGGAACAAAAAGGGGATTTACGATTGGTACTCTTAATGAAAGCACCAATGATGAAAATTGTGATCCCGACAACTAAATTTGTCTCGGACAGACGCGCAATAGGCCTTCCCTAGTGGATGATAGATTGCACAAATGATGCACCTAGGCCTTCTTTTGAACAAGTGCATATTAATATTTAAAGAAATACTAACACACGAAAAGTTTGATCGAAAGATCGAATTTTTATTATGAACTGAATTAAGAAATTGAATTAACAATGCGAGTATTTAAAGGCAAAGCTAGAGCTAGTCCTAAAGGGATTAGAATATCTAAACTATGGAAAGTAAATATTACTAGAATCCTAAACATACCAAACTTATGTAAATATCTAACAATCTAGGAAAATAAGATAATAAATATCTAATCTAGAATCGACCGCAATCTTCTAGATCATTCTCGTAGCTTACGGCTCACGCGTCATTCCAGCTAGCCCGATATACTCGGGCTGAACTCGTCCTCGTCATCATGGCGCGACATCTTCGGGTCACGTTTGTCCGTATCAACTCTTGCGTGTGTCTCCTCACGCGTTCGGCATGCGTCGTCATTGACCCGCCCACGCTCGACCATGCGAGTGTTGACCTCGACCCTGCGAGCGTCGACCAATTGTTCATCCTCTTTGCGCTTAACCTTACGAGCGTTGATCACGCGAGCTGCCCGTTCGACCCCGTGAGCTTTGATCCCTCAAGCTTCCTGTTCGACCCTGTGGGCCTCGACCTCTCGAGCGTCGACCCCGCGGGCTTCGACAAACCGTGTTGCCTGCTTGCGCGCCCAATACGCGCGATTGTAGGCATTTTTTAGTAGTCTGTCTTCATTCGCATCAGGATGATAGAAGATCCATCGGTGGTCATTTTATTTTTCTTGGTTCAAACCTTCTCAGTTGGGGTTCTAAGAAACAACAAGTGGTGGCCAGAAGCAGTGTTGAATCTGAGTATAGATCCCTTGCTACAGCTATAGTTGACCTTGTATGGATGCAGTGTTTGTTAAGTGAGCTAGGATTGTTCTTTGAGGCCCCTTCTGTCTTGTGGTGTGACAATGCTAGAAATGCTGCTTTAGCTTCGAATCATGTGCAACATGCACGTACTAAGCATATCGAAATAGATGTTCATTTTGCTAGGGAAAAAGTTTTCTTTGCGGATGTGTTGAACAAACCTCTTCTCAAGGCATTTTTCATCTCTTATGTTCTAGACTGACTCTTCGAACTAAGAACAACCGAGCTTCGTTTCTCGAGGGTGTATTAGCATAACTATTGTTTAGCACATTGTGAGTTGACAATTAGCTGACAAGTGATTAGTTAGAGAGTTAATTAGGTTTAGTTAGTTAAAAAGTTAGTTAAAAGTTTATCAGTCATTAAGCAACCAAATTTAAAGTTTGCAATTAGGTTGATCATCATCATCTTCATTTTTATGCTTTGCATTAACTTCAACAATTATCATACATAAGACTGACTTGATCGTCGCAGACTCTATGTCGAGAATCATCTCAATACTTTTTATGGTACTCGAATGGGAAGATCAAGCAATTCGAAGATTCAAAGACAATCGACCATCTAAACTAAGAATTATTTACAAATTCATGTTAAATTGGCGCTAAACAATGCTATTCTTTTATTTACCTGCATTCTCCAAGACTCCAACCAAAACTTTTACGAAAACACATCAAATTTGGTCCCAACCTAACTTTATAAATTTTGGGACGCCGATTTTTCATAAATCAAATACAAAAAGATCCTGTCCAAAACGTGGATTCATCTGATAGGCTGGACATATTAATTGCAGAATCTATATATATTGAAAAAGAGAGGTCAATAAATCATTTGTGGAAACTTTTAAAAAATTGGTCAACAACATCATTGACTTCCTATTTGTGGAAACCAATTAAAAAAATCTAAAAATTATTTATTTTTTGATTTTTTTTTTTATTTTAATTCATTCCAAAACAGAATCAGGCAAAAAACATAATACTGGAATAATTCCAGTATAAACGATTTGGCCGGATTTTCTTTCCAATTATTTAGGAAACCACCGAATTTTCTCAACTATGAAATCATAGGAATCCCAATTTTTTAGGTAACAAATTTGGATATTTTTTTGGATATATTCCAACTTAAATTGAGATTGTTAGACAATTTCGGTCAGCCAATAAAATCAATTTTTCAACCCTAAATTGATGGG